GCTGCTTACCTCAACTTTCTGCAGAACACACTGTATGAGTTTTTGGAAGACATTCCTTTGAATCAGAGGCAACAAATGTGGTTCCAGCATGATGATGCTCCAGCTCATTTTTCCATGGCCATTAGAGAGCATGTACACCAAACTTTTCCACATAGATGGGTAGGAAGGGCCGGACCTGTGTTATGGCCTCCAAGATAGCCTGATCTGAACCCTCTAGATTTCTTTGTTTGGAGATATTTGAAGACATGGTATGGTAGGCCTGCTCTGATATTAATCGATTGTTGTCGACCAGAAAACCCAAGGTAATTTGGACAATAAATATGATTTTTATAGTTGGTATGATTTACAAAGTTAAACTTGGATAGTATTTACTTGTGACACAAAATTCAGTACTTAAATTTAGCCATGTGCACTGAAGAGATTTATGTTAAACAAAACGTGGCTTTAATAGCGATGTGATATATTTTTCATTAAAATCATTGTTTCAATAACGTAATCTCCCGAATTTGATGATACATTTATATTTAAAACGAATCAAACCATATTTTTATTACTGTTACTAATAACAAATGTAATTTCCTTCAGCATTACTTTGGGTTCGGTAATACCAAAGCCGAGCGCAGGAAGAAGGCGAATATACTTAATATTTTTATGTACTTTCCATAAATGGAATTGGAAATGTAATTTCATCTTTCCTCTTTATTGAAAAGTTACGATCGGCGGAATTGGATTTTGTCAATCTTACATTCTTATTGCACGCTTCCCGAATAGGTCGGCTCAACTAACTAATGCTCATATTTTTAAGCTCATTCTAGAGAATCCGCTACCGCCAAAACGTTGTTTGTGCTCCGTATGCTTTTATTCTCAATGTGGGACGTGAGAATTTTATTTACTAGTCCGTATGTGGGGAATTATAGTTACTCGTATTTTATAAGAAAACTTTGTGTAGAATAGATAAAAAGGCTCGTTTATATTAATAAATTCATTTGAAATAATATACAGGTCAACCAAATCCTTTGAGTCCTGAGGGTAGAATGCGCAATGGCAAAGAAGTCAAGGTCACTAGAGAATAAGGTTAATAATAATAATAATAATAATAATAATAATAATAATAATAATAATAATAATACACAACTCAAACGGAAAATATTTCAAGCTTTTTCAGGTATTTCCCCTTTTGTAAATTCTTTTTATTCTTAAAGATTTTCGTGCAATGAATAATAAAAGTCATCGCAACCCATTTTACATCCAAACCTAATTTTACGAACACGAAAAATTTGTTAATAAAAACGAAATAGTCTTGGGGACTATAACAATTTGTAATCTAATGTTCTTTAATGAAAATATTTAGAAATTACCACCATTTTTAATAACACAACTGTCTCCCATTCTGTATACTGTGACTATCAAATTTGAATCTTTATGATCATTCTTATTTGAAGAAAGTTCATTTAGATTAATTCAATAAGGTACTACAGTTCATAATGTTGCAGTATAAGAAAAAGCCGAAAAGTACACTATTGATTTTTTTTGTAATGGTTACATTTCCAAAAATTTTCGTGAAAGAATATAATATAAAGTAGGTACATGGGTAATTGATTAAATTTTTAAAAACGAATTTTGTAAATTTGGTCTCGGATTCGTGATCAGTGACCCCGAAAACCCCCGTAAACCAAATTTGGCGCGAATGACTAATTTTTTTAAAATTTGCACGGCCATCTTGGATCCGCCATCTTGAATTTTGCAAAATTGACTTCGGATTCGTGATCAGCGACCCCGAAAACCACCGTATACCAAATATGTCGCGAATCTGTTATTTTTTTTAAATTTGTGATATTTGACCTTAATTGATCCGTTTTTTAGGTTAGAAAAAGAACCATCAATTCTGACCGCGGATTCACGTTCGGCGAGTCTTAACCATATAAATGAACATTTGAATATACAAAAATTTTTTGGATTTTTCCTAGCACTTTTTCGTGAATTTTTGCTATTTTTTACCTGTTTTTTGAGGTTAGGAAATTCCTGTGATGTGATAGCTCAATTCTGAGACTGGATTCGTGATGAGGAGGCAAAAATACTATGGATAACATATGTCGCATGAAAAGTACAGACAACTTTTTTTTGTGTGTGGTTGGTTATCTGATAATCATATTAGTCATGTATTTGAAATTATTTCTGTTTGCTATTCTTTAAAAACTGTCACGAGAACATAAAAATTAGTGAAACATTTTGAGAAAGCCAACCGAAATCATTTTATTAATTGTTCTGTTTCAGTTGCAAAATACCAAACCATAGAAATTCAACTAATTATAATTCTGATTCGTGGTAATGTCCCGTGGATATACAATAAATTTAAAGTACTTGGTACTTGTAGAATACTGAATGACAGTACCGATATTTGTCTTTCAAGGCACATTTGATGATATTTTTTATATAATATTCTTGAAAATGGAAGAAAACTGCAAATATCTGAGAAAATCGAAACTGTAACCCCAACAATGCTTATATCGGTGATTAGAGAATTTGATTTTCTATGGTGCAAAAAATATAGGATGTTACATGTTATTTGTACATTTCAATATATTAAACTCACTTAGAGTTAAACTTAATTTGGCATCATATTTTGCCCCTTATTAAACCCAATTACTTGAATTATTTGGGGATTATGATAGAGATGATTGAATTCATATCACGCACCCCACAGTCTTTAATAAAGCATTAGTTGTCTAAGGACTTGTCTGTGCTTTAAGATACTAATAACGATGTCTAAATAGACCAAAAGGTGTCAGAGGAGGATTCATTTTTAGCCCGCACACTGGAAATCTAACCTAACCTAACTCATATGCCTTTTTTATATTAGTTCTCTATTTAAATGGAAAAACGCAATTTCGACATTTTATTTTTTTCTGAGATTATTTTATTCATGAAAATTATAATCTTTTATAGTTCTTCAGTTCTTACTGTGAAAAGGAACACATTTAAAAAAATATTAAAAACTATGATCGTCAGAAAGTCTGTGATAGTGTGATAACTAGTAGACACTTACCGATATATGAAAAACGATTTTCAACGACAGGAGCAGTTTCGTTCGGCTTTACCACCACCAGAGACGTTACGTCTGTCACAAAATTGTATTTAAGCGCCAAATTAACGGCCTTTCTTATTAACTCTCCAGGATTTGCCGAGGAATCCCTTTCATCCAACAACTGTTTCACGGTGAGGTAGGCCCAGAGTCTTTCCAGGGACGTTGCCGGATTTTCCATGGCTGAGCTTATTACCACCGCACCGTGGGATCCGCAACAATGGATGGTAGTCGGAAATATTTGTTCTACAACCCAGGAGAGACTTTTTATACATAACAAAGCTAAAGAAGTTGCGATATTCAGCACCACGCGTGCGTGATCGTTAATATTGATAGATATTATTTTCTTACAAATTGGGTACTTACCTCCACATCTTCCCGCAACAACAAATTCAGAGCCCTTAAAATAAATGGGGAACCAAGTCCTCGTGACTTCCGCCACTTCCGCATCGTACTGGAACTTGATGTCGTGCAAGAGCGGGGAAGATATCTGCTTGTAGAATTCCTGCAGCTGCAAAGAGGCGTCGGCGGCTTCGTATATGTGCCTCGAAAAACCCAAATTTTTTAAAGATAACTTTCTCAGGAAGTTTTTATCTGCGTCATTTCCAAAAGAGAGAGAGAATATAGGCGCCTTGATATCCACGTTCAAACGCGTTACCTAAAAATTTGACAAACGTCATATGACATTAGAGAGATATTGGAGCGACAACTTGCATTAGTGCATGCGGTATTTAGACAACTAAGCATGCGCAATTGCATACAGCTGTCGCGCTGCCGTAATAACGATAACGCCTGGTGTAATTTACGAATGTATAGCGTTATGCTTTACCGTTTCGCTAAAGTGCTTCGAGGGGTGATGTCGGAAAAGCCGACGACGATTAGGCACATATAATATGTTAGACAAAACCAATCAAGGTCATCAATATCAAACAACTATCCTTGGATGTTCAATAACTCATATTTTCAAGACAAATTAGCGCACAAATAACGCTGCGCTATTAACAGCGTACGTGCGGTATNAATTGGAATTCAATATGGCGTCGAGGGCAAACATTTGTTTGATTCATATAAACTTATGTGTGTTTTGTTAAGAGTTTGCGTTTTTCTGTTGGCTTGGCTTTGTTTTTTTGAACTTTGACTGTATAATGAGTGTTTCGTGGATTGTAGTTAGGTGTCTTTGTTATTACCAATCAATATGCAGAGTGATTATTTAAAGAAGCTAATATAAGTATATTAATTAATGTAACGTTGGCATTATAATGAAAAATACATAAATTAAGGAATTGGAATGTATTGATATCATTGTAAAAATTCTTGATAGTACCTAACAAATTTTTCTTGATTTTTAAAAAGTGTAATTCCATTCTATTTTCGCTTGTATTTTCTAGTAATTTTCTTCTTTTATATGGCCATGTTCGGCGCCGTTTTCTCGATAAATCATTTAAATGAGGAAAATATTTAGAATTCACTTCGTCAGATAAACAATGAAAGCTAACTTGGTCTCGATTTCCACGACTTCGACAACCCACTACTTTGCATGTTACCGGCATTAGTAATACATATCGTTGCGACACATTTCAATAAAAGACAAGTTGAACACTTCCTTAAATAAAATACATGAATAATTCCTTACAAAAAACTCGGATTAAATGCTTTTAACTAAAAACTTCTGGACTGACTTCAATGCATTCTCAATGTAAACATAACTTGTTTGCCATCAGCGCCATATTGCTTAAAAATTTGACAGGTCGTTGGATTGCCTAATATCTCTCTCAAAGAATTAAGAATATTTACTATACATTTAAATTGTATTGACCTCTCATTTTGAATGCGGTAACAAACATGATAATGAAATCATCTGATAAATGGTTTTACAACTACAGAACTGTTAAAAACATAAAGAAGTTTTAGTTTTAAAGAAATTAAAGGATAATATAAAAATTGGGAATCAATTTTTCTGCAGCTAATGATAAAAATTACTTAATATTTTAATGATACGTACAAATTTAACATTTACTTTATTAGTTGAAAATATGTACCTATTTGAATTTTTGTCCTAACACACATTTCCATATCTCCTACTGAAATATGGTACATGGGTTTTCCAATATCTCATTCATCGCTTACAATATTCGGATAAAAACTTCGTTTTTGATACAGAGCCTTCATAAATGTTTACAGGCCACGCGACCGCCGAACTTAGGTAACTAACATTGCAAGGCTCTGGTACTGGTAGCGACAAATCTCTAAATCTTGTCGGCGTCGCCAATATTAAAAATTATTCGTTTACAATGAACAATGTCAAACGGTTACGTCTGCGCACTAGATAAAGCGATCATTGCGATCGCAGATTGGTTGAATAGAGTCTCCTGAAAAATTACACCAATCACAACCGGTGTAACAGAATGTTGCGTTTTAATGTAATATTGATCTTACTATTTTAATAATTTTTAATTTTACCGAAATTTAATTGTCAACGTGAAGGAGATAATATTACTGTTCCAAACAAAATTAAGGTCACTTAGCTTGTAATCATTTGTCCCATAGCCCAGCCGACTATATTCATTCGTCACAGCAGGTATGTAACAAATACAACTGGACCTGAACTACGTCAAACTCATTGAATGTAATGCAAGACAATAGAATAAGAAAACGTTATATTCATCTTTTGTTGATAGAATTGATATTTCATGTGGATTGTTATTAATTTCTTAATAAGTCTCAAACGTCCCAGCTAAGTAGAGACGATTAATCAAATTGCAACACACATATAACAATTTTTTCTTAAAATATTAGCTTCGTTCCTAGTGCATCAGAAACAGTTTCCAAAGTCCAAGACGCAATCGAGTCAGCACGACAGATGGAGCCATTTGCGCTCCGCGTACAGAGAAATAATGATTTTATAAAAAGAATGACATTATAAGGGGATGATGTTAGAGAGAAATAGCAATTTGTTAGAAAGACATAAAAGATGTTGGAAAAAGAGAGAATATGTATCACGCTATGTATTTTCGATAAAACACGAAAACTGCACGGAAATTCTAAAACACTGACAAAACGGATGTACACCAGCTATTCATAGAATAAATGTCATATGATATCCATAAACTGATAAACTGATAAACAGATACAGAAACGTTATTTCTAGTTTGGAGGACGAAAACAAATCGATTCTCGAAACGTCAACTAAATGAAGTGAAGGTCTGCCTTTTTCAATGCACGACTTTTGGCTAGGAATTTTCATAAAAATAACCCTTGACTCTTATTTCTTGACTCCTAATTTCATTAATTTTTTTTTTCACATGTGGCAAAGTACCCAAATCAAAAGCGAAAAACTAAAACCGCGGACCCATATAGCAAGCAGACACTGAAATATAAAATGAAGTGACTTACTAGTTCAGTAATATGCTCTGTTGAATTAATACCGACGTTAGGTTCTCCATCGGTTAGAAATACTATAATGGGTTGAAGTTTCAGATCTCTGGCTTTATTATTCTGTTGTCCTGTTTTCACTAGATACAAAGCCGTTTCCAAACCGCCAATCATGAAGGTGCTACTGGTGGCTGTAATATTTTGAACAACCTCCTTTGCTTTTTTTATAATATCGTCACTAACGACTCGCGGATCTGCCAATATACATTTCTAAAATAAAAATTAAACGGTTACATATGAATAAGTCAAAATTAAAACTATATAATTACTTGTAAAGAGGCAAAAGGATCATTGAAATCTGTTATTTTATGTGCAGGTACGGTAGCTGATCGTTTCGAGTCGACATCCCAAATGATAACGTCACTGTTAAATTCGATAATACTCAGCATGTCTTCTTTGTGTAAATCGCTCAAAATATTCACCATAGCGTCTTTCAACTGTTTAATTTTCCGTCCCTGCATGCTCCCGCTAGTGTCCAACACAAAAATAACATGCTTGGGTAACGGATCTAGGTCGTTCGTGGCAAAGAAGTGAACGAAATAACCATCTTGAAGCAGTACCTAAAAGGAAACAGTACATTTTTTATTTAGCGTACATGTTTCGGTCATACTTCTCCGTTGAGGGGTTCCCTTTCTACGTCGTACTGTACGACGAACTGACCTGACAAGCCATCGTTTGTTTTATTTCCCAAAAAGTGAGTCATTTTTCTTTGCCTTGCCGCGTTAGGATGGAACTTGATGGAAGCCGTTCTTTGATTTATTATTTTAATATCCGACAGAGGATCGAGAATTTGATCGTACTCCGACGTATTCATGTCATTTCCTGATATCAGAGGTGGCGTTTTTACAAATTTCAGGGGTCGACTCTCGTTAATGCGAACCTAGAAAATTTTATCGTAATTACGCGAATTTAAAATATTACTGGAACTAATTAGTCTGTTACCTCAACATTTAAATCATCCACGATTTGCCCAGGACAAATATTCAGCACCAGTTCGTATTGATCGTGGACCCTTTGGAGCATTTCTTCGTAAGTTAAAGAAAATACCACCACAGAATCGGGCTCTAGATTTACAGACACTGTAAATTCCTTAGAATCTCTCGTTTTTGCTTCGACGAGCCCCGCACTATGCCCACCTGCCACTGCCTGTAATAATTTTTTTATTGTACCACAAAGAAAATGGAAAAAAAATAGATACGTACTTCGTTATAAATATTTTTTGCTTCCTTCTTTTCTTTTATGTATGATTTGTAACTTTTGCCCTCGATTTCCATGACAAAGTCCGTAATGAAAGCCATATCGGTTAGAATGACTTTAAAGTCTGCATCTGCCGCTTTCTTGTTGGTGTTTTTCACCCTCCATACCACCTTAGTCTTCGCAAAACGGTTGGTGATTTCGGAAGATATATTTGCTTCGTAAATAATTAATCCACCCTTGGGAGGCACCTGATAAATTATTTATAATAATTTCACATAATTTATCGATACGACTTAATATTACCTCCTCATCGGAAGCTGTGGTTACAGTCGATACCATTCCTGAAAATAATTTGTATGTTTTATAGATACCTAACACCACCTAATATTTAGATTTGAAGTTCTTTACCTGCAGCAGCTTCGGCTCCTTCTTCATTTATTTCTAAATACACTTTCTGTTGGATTTCATCGCAAGTGAGCTCCTCACCGTCAATCACGTCACTCAGGTTGGCATGAAATACATCATCTAACCCCATCTGATGTAAAATGAAATCACATAAAAATTCACATGAATTTTCATCCCTTCATCTGTTTAACATACAAAGTATTAAAAGTGTTTCATAAATTTGAAGGGCTGGCAATTATAAAAAACCAGAAAAATTTCATAATTTTTCATAATCCAAAAGTGAAGGAAATTCCAAAAAAAATAGATGATCTAAATTTAGAGGTAGTAGAAACTTCCTCTAGATCCACTATGAAAATAGGTGAGCACAGAAACCCTCTCTATAATTGGACTAGTGGGCCGCTGGCGCTGTATAGATTGAAGATTACAATAATTACACAGACCCACAAAAAAAAAGTTGAAGATACCAGAGACCAGACCCACCTATCCTTATGTATTTTGACGCGCTGTAACCGAATCCGGAGTCATTGTGCTCCATCACCCTCTAGTTTTTTTTTAAATCGCGAAAAACTACCCCCAAAACACGGAAAATCTTCAAATTTTCGCTTGGCATCAGGTCCGAAGGTTGAGATAAACGTGAGAACCAGCACAATAAGACTATTTTATATGTAGTTTCAACTTTTTTTTTGTGGGTCTGTGTTATTCTTAATTTTGTCACACCATCTATAAAAAATACTATTGAACGACCCCGCAGACAATACACCACGTCCAATGTATAAGACATCTCCCGCCAAACCACGAGGAAGCTCTGATTGCCGCCAGCACGCTTGAGATGCACCAGACGATGCTAACGCGTAAGCGACATAGCGCTACACCCCTCCGATCGCGCGGAAGGGCGACAAATCAGCCACTTTTTAAAATTTTCCCGCCTAGCCGCCAGGATGAGATAATGGCGCCAAAAATCCTTGTTACATCAGACGATGACTACGACGTCGCATCCGGTGCTCAACATATCCCAGAGGCCGCCAATAGCCTCTGTATCTCGATATTGATTCTACATATAATTGTGTGCCGTTATCTGTGTCTTGGTCAAAACTTTCACATTGAAAAAAATTGGATGAACGACTTCGGTCGATAGCCATTTGGATTGTTTTAAAGTACATCTATTATTATTATTAATAGACACGAAAGTTGCAGCACCTTATGGTGTAATTAAAAAGTTTATTTCTATTTTGGTATTAATGGAATTTCTCAAACTCGTGTTAAAAATTATGTGTAAAGTTCTTCAGTGTAGAAGTAAAATTGATATGTTTTTGAAAAGGTAGTTTTGCCGGTGATTTTGCCGGGTATTTTCTATAATAACTTGTCGATTTTCAACAAAATATACTAAATAATTCTAATATAATATAATAAATAGGAAAAAATACCACTAGATACAACAATAACATTGGCCTGCCTCTTATTAGGTCGTTCAACTCGCGACAATTTTTAGATGAACTTGAAATTAGATTACATTAGACTTGTCTGTACTAGTTTTCTAAAATAATTGTAAAGCTGTAAAAATTGTGGCGGAATAAAAGTCACCTTATTCACTACATGCAATATAACAGGATTTTCATATCACATTAGGCTTTAGTCATGTATTTATTTTTCCTGAATTTGTTTAAAATTTAAATTGGTGTTTTATTAATCGAGATTCAATAGTATAAGTTTCTTACCTTACTCAGATATTGCTTCAATTCTAAATTTTCATACATTTTAAACTTCGGAAGTGAAACATGCACCTCCTGTTTAGTCATATTCCTTATGAATTGTGTAATATTATAGTCAAAAAAAATTTTCTGTATAAATTCATTAATATTTGTACCTTTCCCGGGCAAAAGGACTACAAGGCTTACAGTATTACCCTCAAATGGTAATTTTAAAATTTTTGCGTCGAGGGGTGCATAATTCTCAAAATAAAAATTTCCTTTCTTCCTCATCATTTGAACCTGCACCACGTTTTGTTCGTTCAAGTAAAACGGTGCGGGCAACGTATCTTCCGTGGAAAATGGTTCAGTCCAGTTACTTTTAAAGCGTGTGGCATTTAAAAACGTAAAATTCACATCATCTCTCAAACTGATAAATGGTATAATTTTCTGATGGGTCATATCACAGATCCAAGTGTTTATAACCGTGGTAAAATCCAAGAAGTTTACTTCACTAGCAAATTTATCCCTGAGGCGGTTTCTGAAAACTTCCTGAACTTGGTTCGACTTCAAGAAGGACGCATTAGCAATCACAAAATTATTAATATTGCTAAAAACATCGAACATGTCTTTGTAATGTGTAGATGCGGTATTAACTTCGAGGTGCAATGCTCTATTGAAAATATCTTTGTTGTAAAACCAGGAATCCTGAGAAAGGAGAGTCAGAAATGTGTGGATGCCGAAAGGCGAAAATAAACTATTGTCATTGTGTTTCCTCAACTCTTTGTGCAAGTGCTTTGAAAACCTGTCGATGGCGCTAGTGAAAACGTTGATATATCTTTCAATTTCAGCCATATTCCTGTTTTTGATTGCGAGGAACTTGATTTATCTGCAATATAAAAAAATTACATATATCTACGTGGCGAAAATACCTGAAGTTACTTTAACAAAAATCCCAGAAATGCGAAGCCACTGAATATTTTGAAAATACTATCACTACTTCTAAACTCTATACAGGGTGTCCTGAAATTCATGCAACAAAATTTAGTCATAGATTCTTAAGACAAATTTAGAGGACACGTATTTTTTCTTTTTGCCTACTGGCCCCTTCTTTCGGAGTTACAGCCCCCTGAAATCTGCCCCTAAGAAGTATTTTTTATATCTCAAAACCATGTTATACGAGAATCACTAAATTTGGTACACAGGGGTTTTATGACATGTGAAATCTCGCAGTGCTACGTTTTTTTGGCGAGAAACCCCCTTAAGACACTTTTTCGTGAGCCCTCTTCTCTTTGGAACAAAAAAAATTTGGTCGCAAATTAGATTTTTTTTAAATTATTAGTTAGCTAGAAAGCCATTGAATTTAGAAACTTTTTTGTCTCTTGATATTTGTTTGAGGAAAATGGCGAATAACGATATGCATTCGATCACATTTTGACATTTTTCTCGAAAACATTGCGTTTTACGAAAAAAGTATAAAGAGACAAAATGTTTCTAAATTTAATGGTTTTCTAGTGTACTGATAATTTTTAAGAAATTTAAATATGCGACCAAATTTTTTTGGCTTCAAAGACAAGGGAGTCACGAAAAATTGTCTTAAGGGGGCTCCCCGCTAATAAACGTAGCACCATCAGATTCCACATGTCATGAAACCCCTGTGTACCAAATTTAGTGATTCTCGTACAACAGGGTTCTGAGATAAAAAAAAGGTTATTCTTAGGGGCGGACTTCAGGCGGCTGTAACTCCGAAAGAGGGGGCCACTTGGCAAAAATAAAAAATACGGGTCCCCTAAATTTGTCTTAAGAGACTGTGACTAAATTTTGTTGCATGAATTTCGGGACACAATGTATAGTGGTTACAAGAAAAAATATGGATCGAAGCATTTTATGACAAAATGAAACAATAAAAATACTTAGTAGAACTATAGAAAACGTCAAGATTAAATAAAAGAAGAGAAAATACGCTAATGATAATAGCTATGACATATCAACAAGATCTCACCCGCCTATAAGCTATTTTTCCGAGCATGCGCATTAGGAATAATACGACTAAAGTTAAATTTTTACTTTATTTAAATTTAGGAATATTCTTTTATATCGTTTTTGTAAGTTTTAAACGCCATTCATTTGAAGTTGTTCATTTTTATATTATTTATGTAAATACTAAATAGTACACAAGGGTCAGATTCAGTCTGTACAATTTCAACTATGACAATTTGTTGCGGGTTGCCTAAATACGTGAGGTCACACTAAAAGAGTCTATTGTCAAGATGACATCTCAATTATGTGAAAACCGTGACTAATTTGACTAGGATTTTTCGTCTTAGTTCATACGAATATTGCTCGTGACGCAATGGAAAATATACAGTGATTTTAGTATAACTAATGTTTCCTAACTCAGAAGATGATCTCTTAAATAAAAGAGACCAGAACGCACGCCCCTGTGAAGTGATTAAATTTTAGTTTACACTAAAACATGCCCCGTAGGTCTGTCTCTAGGCAGTCTAAACGTTCAAAGTTTGAGATACAGGAAACATTCCATTAGGTACTAAGATATTAAAAAAAACGAACAAAAAATTAAACTGGCGAATTTTGGAAAAGAGAAGTTATATGAACTTTTTTCAGATTACTTGGTAAGATTACTTACCGTTTTCCTTTCATTTTATACATTAATTATATAATTACAGTGTTGTGTTTGACAATAATAGGCTTTTCCGAGGACCTTTTGAATGACCCGATAAATATTATTGGATCATGCGGTCTGAGATTTGGGACTTCAGCTTGTCCAACTGTATAATACCTAGGTACTTATACGATATAATTTTGAACAGTAACAAGAGGAGCAGGGCACACGATACATATGCGGTGGAGTATGTTATTGCTATTCTCTGATACACAGTAAAAACTTACCTAGGATTTATTCGAAATTGATTTAAAGAGATCGTGATATTCTTAAGAACTGGCGTACTAACTAATCACTCCAGATTCTGTATGATTGTACTGGACTGTATTACAACAAATATATACAAACACAAACAGGTTACTGACTAGTAACAGTTCTAAGGATTGTTTTTAGTTATTTTTAGAGCTGCGTCGCATAAAAATTGTTTTGTATGAAAAGAGATGGGTATTGTAACATAATAACACGCATATTCCTACGTTTTTTGACTAGCGGACCATCATAAAGAATAGAGGTGACCAAGCGACGTTGATGTAACAACTTAGTCGGGCAACTCTAGAAGCGGACGTTCTACGCGAAATAGGGAAGGTCAGGAAAACCATTAGCGATTTGGCGATTCCTATTTCCTATCCTGTTGTTTTGGTCTCTAATAGCACTGTATCGGGTACAGAAAATATTCATTTTTTTACATGAACTATTAACAAATATAATAAATACTCTTACTTATAATTAATGTAAAATAAACAATATTTCAAACACTGCGTAAGCATGTAAAGAGTTAGGTAGGTACTAACAATAAGTACAATCCCAATCCCACTAAACATTTTTCAGTTTCTAACATGTTCCAGAAACGTTTCCATTTTTCTCGAAACGTTTCATAAAAAATCCATGCAACGTTCTGGTATTATTCTAAAAACCCAAGATGTCCTCCCCAAAATACGTTTCCAATGAAACGTTTAAAAAAAATTGGTTTCAGTAACATTCTTTTTATGTTCCATTTATGCATTCGATATTTTTGTTTTACGTTTCAGTATATTTTCAGAAATGTTTGAGTAACATAATAATTCTATTACCATATTGTTCTCATAATGCTCTCAACTTTAGATAATTTCCCACTAAACACGAAACGTAAATGAAACGTTGCAAATGAAATGTTTTACTAAACATTTGAAACATTAACTAGAAACGTTTCTGTTTCACTACAGAAATGTAGCACTTGAAAACTTATTTAGTGAAACATAGCCGAAAGGTTACAATTGAAGAGAGTTTGAAACATTACTCGAAACATTCCCTTTCGATCTCGGAAACATAACAGACGAACAACCCTTTGCTATTTTTGCTTATCTTATGGAATATTCGGCATTAGTTAAATTTTGCTCTCAATCCCCAATCCCTCTCAAGCGTTAGTTCATTTGCCTTTGTTATACAAAGACATAATTAGAAAAAAAAAAGTGGTAGCATATTTATAACACAAGTCTNTATACCCAGAGAACACTCAAGACATACGAAAACCTTTTTTCTTAACATTCCTAGAACGAATCTTACTTTAAAATCACCTTTATATGTAATGTGTTGTAACTTTAATAAATTATGCCACTTGTGTGACATTCATTTTGATAATTTTGAACGTATATTGGTTGTTGCTAAACAATTACTAAGTCAGGAACGTGTCTTTTGATGATATGTGGATTATCTTCGTATTTTTTTTTGTATACCTATTTGTTTCGTAATTAATGTACTAAGTTTGTATTGTATCTGTATTTAGATTAAGTAACTCTTTATAATTTTTAGAAGTAAAATAAAATTGCTCTGTAAATGGGGTAACTGTTGAGCTATTATTATTATTATTCTCTGATACACAGTCAAAACTTACCTAGGATTTATTCGAAATTGATTTAAAGAGATCGTGATATTCTTAAGAACTGGCGTACTAACTAATCACTCCAGATTCTGTATGATTGTACTGGACTGTATTACAACAAATATATACAAACACAAACAGGTTACTGACTAGTAACAGTTCTAAGGATTGTTTTTAGTTATTTTTAGAGCTGCGTCGCATAAAAATTGTTTTGTATGAAAAGAGATGGGTATTGTAACATAATAACACGCATATTCCTACGTTTTTTGACTAGCGGACCATCATAAAGAATAGAGGTGACCAAGCGACGTTGATGTAACAACTTAGTCGGGCAACTCTAGAAGCGGACGTTCTACGCGAAATAGGGAAGGTCAGGAAAACCATTAGCGATTTGGCGATTCCTATTTCCTATCCTGTTGTTTTGGTCTCTAATAGCACTGTATCGGGTACAGAAAATATTCATTTTTTTACATGAACTATTAACAAATATAATAAATACTCTTACTTATAATTAATGTAAAATAAACAATATTTCAAACACTGCGTAAGCATGTAAAGAGTTAGGTAGGTACTAACAATAAGTACAATCCCACTAAACATTTTTCAGTTTCTAACATGTTCCAGAAACGTTTCCATTTTTCTCGAAACGTTTAATAAAAAATCCATGCAACGTTCTGGTATTATTCTATAATACGTTTCCAATGAAACGTTTAAAAAAAATTGGTTTCAGTAACATTCTTTTTATGTTCCATTTATGCACTCGATATTTTTGTTTTACGTTTCAGTATATTTTCAGAAATGTTTGAGTAACATAATAATTCTATTACCATATTGTTCTCATAAATGCTCTCAACTTTAGATAATTTTCATTTCAAAAGCGTTTTTGAAATAGTATAAATAATGCAAGTAATTTTTTAAATATTTCTAATGCTCTTTTGCGATATTTTTATTTGTATTGTGAATAACTTAATTCGAACTCCAGACAACTTTTTCTGATTTTTTAAAAAATTTAAAAAAAAGTTTACATTGTATTTTAAAAAAAAATTATATGCTCTTCTAGTTTGGGGATGCGGCAACTTTTACCAAGAATTTCTTTCTTTTTGAGAAGCGACTGAAAAAAGTTTCTATAAAATTGATCTTTAAAAGTATTTATACATATTAAATGTATACCTACTTAACTCACAAGAAATACATTAATATTTTCGAGATTATACAATATTGCGCCAGCAAAAATGTTTACCGACAATATTAGTAATAGTGGTTCGCACAACAGTCAGAAACCACCAGCAAGTGTCCCACGCATGCTCACTTAGTTAAAAACGTCCGTACAACAAAATCCGAAACTATTATTGATTAAAAGATTGGTGTTCTCAGAACTACGAGTATATTGTCTTAAACCTCGTGAATTTCCTTGAATTTGAAACAAAAACAGCTACTACCAACTTCGCATAATCATAGTAAATTATTAGTAAATAAAGGCAAATTGAAAATGAACACATTTCCTTGAATAAGTTGAGATTAGTTATTTTTTTAATTAGATAACATGAACAAAAATTGTAATCGTATAATTTGCCAGTTCACGTATCACACTGTAAAAAACGTATTAAAAATAAATATGTAAACAAATAACTTAACTTCAATATTTTTGTTGATACTTCTAAACTTCACGAAAAAATTTACAAAAATTACGTTCTAATTTGTGAGGAATCTCATCAATAAATTCATGAGTTATTAGACAGCAGATCTGATGTAGGTAGGTAGGTACCTATTACACTTGCCATCTTCATGAAACGACTTCATGAATTAATCCATGAAGAAATTCACAATGTAAAACAGGTATACAAAACAATAGCGATAATAGTATCAAGTAAACGGTTCTATGCGCTGAGTAACAAATAGACTGTAATCACTGTATTAACAACGCATTCAAGTGCAACTCATATTATAAAAAGAAACTCATACATTAAACGTATGTATTATTATAAAATAATTAAATTCGTATCACCAAGAATGAAACGCAATTTGGCAGAAATCTTATGCTAATTATTATAATTATAATCTTTACAATCGGCCATAAGTTTCCTTACATTTAATACCTATTTTTAAAATAGACAATAAAACGTTACTTATCGTTCGTTGTTTTCAAACAGTTAAACGGCACAGAATAACCCACTTTAAACCTACTTTTCTTTCAGATAAATACATCACAAACAAAATACCTATACCTAATTCTAGATTTGTTTTGGTTCCGACAGAGAACGGTTCTAGACTCGGTTCTAGGACGGTTCAAATTAGTTGACCATTCCATTTTACAAGAACATCTAAACCAAAACATTCTGACAATACACTTGGGTAATAACTATTTCGCTGTCCACAAACAGAGCCAAAACAAGCCTCTAAAAACAATTCTTAGAACTATTCAAAATTACCTATCTCACAAATTCGTGATAAATAATAATAGTCCGGTAAAAGCACAATAAAAAAAAAGTTAGTTTAATTAAAAATATTGTGATTCTTTAAATTAATTTCAAATTAATTATTATTCTATCCTCAACATCTATTAGTTAAGAACATAAGAAGTACTGTTTTCTTGTGAAATGGAGTTCAAGATGTTGAGTTTTTTATAGTTTTACTTTTATTTCTTTTAATAAAATGCACCTTTTCATTAACTCTTATTGCCTGTCAACTAACTCACAGAGTACAGAACACATACATCATAGAACAAAAAACTAAAGAACGGAACAGTAATACCAACTTATCAAATGATAATTATAACATGAATCGATATAATCTAACACAAGAAGCCACAAAATTCTTCAAAAAAATCCTGGTTTTCTTAAACCCAGTTGATTCCGTCGCTTATTATTACTAACACTAACACTACCACTTTTACACTCATTTACTGCACACACTCTTCCTTTTTTGTTAATCCTTTTTTAATAAAGTTTTTACATAAGGTATTTACGAATACGTTAAACGTTAAAATCACGTGACTGAATACCGTATTGACAAATAGCGTGTACTGAATGCTTCCNTTTTTACATAAGGTATTTACGAATACGTTAAACGTTGAAATCACGTGACTGAATACCGTATTGACAAATAGCGTGTACTGAATGCTTTCAGTTTTTGCATATCCTGTCGTTTATCCGCAATGGTAAAGCGTGTCCTAACCTCAATTCTGACGGTTATGCTTTCATTTGACACTTGTGCGGTAAACGGCAGTCGGCAAGTGAAAGAAAAATGGATGGATTATTATTCCTACACAAAATTACCATCCTAAATGTACGGTAAGCTAATACCGTAATCTGAGCTGGATGTCGGAATACCGCAACGATAAACTCCAACTTTAACTGTCGCACATGCGCACTGCCCTCCTACGTGAATTTATCGTTTACGGTATTCTTAAAACCGATATGCAAAAACTCCCTAAGTCCCTAATACATTTTTAAAGAAAAATTGTAATATTTATTTTGATTTCTAGGTTAGTATATTTGTATTCACTTTAAAATAAAACTGTTTGCTTACTTCACTCGTATTTATCATACTTACACTACTAACGACGCTAGTGTCGCTAGTGGTAAAAACTACGCAATTTGTATGATTAAGATGACATATGACAAATAATCAGAGATGGATGTGGTTATGGAGTGTAGACAAGGAGTGAAGGCTCTTATGATATGCGCATACAAATTCGGATTCCATTTTATGACCCAAATTAAAGTTTAAGGAGCTGCTATTGTAGCGCTGATGCAGTGGAGAGTCTAGTGTAGAAGAACACGTCAGGAGCAGTTCCAAGATAATATAAAATTATTTAATATATATATTTTTCAATTCCCATCGATATTTTTGTGGGTGTCTTAAAACAGTAATAGAACAACATCTAAGCTTCTAAGAACATGAGAGAAACAAATAGAACACATTCTGGGAATATTATGAAACAAATAAGTAAATAAATGTATAAACAAAGTATGTGCACTAGGATCATTTTCGATGTGATATTACAGTTGTTATTATTGTAATTTTTACAATCTATTTTTATCTCGGATATAATGAACAATTTCTCAAAGAAAATAATTAAAACTAGAGGGCGGTGCCACGGTGTTTTGTTTAAGTTTGTCCTTGTCTATCGCATTCTATTCATAACCGTGCCTATTTCTTTTTTGCTGGGGACATAAATAGTGCATTAAAATATATTAATATGCATACTTGTATATATATTTATAAAGACGGATTTTATATATTACCTACCATTTAATTTGACGTAATGACAGAGTAGACACCATCTTAAACTTGCATAAATCTATATTGCTTATATAGGTAGTAAATCAAAAACGTATCTCTGAAGTACAATGTGGCAAAATTTAAACATTGAAATTTATACGTTGTTTATTGTAACGCAAAAAGACAAACTATGCCCAGCATAGGTGTAGAGGGCAGAATGGTAGGTACGTATTACAGAACGTAACGGCCTTAACTATACAATAATTATTAATAAACAAGGATATAACAGATACCTACTGCTTCAAATCTAGAAAACTAATTTGTATACAAAATATATACAGAGCCTTTATTCATAAATGATTACAATGATTACCAGCCACGTGACAGTAATTTTATTTGCTTCATGTTGACAATTAAATTTTGGTAAAATATTAAAACAATAAGATCAATATTACGTTAAAACACGACATTCTGTTTCACCGGCAGTGTAACAATTATCGTTAAATTATTAAAACTCGTCAGTTAACAATGGTTGTGTAAAAATAAATCTCATGTATATTATATATTTTCAATTCAAAATCCAAGATTACGTATATCTAGTTCATTTACACTAAACGCAGTTAATAAAATATTAATAAGTTAGTTTATAACCTAATAAAAATAATCTCATCATTACCCGAAATAGTTACCACAACTATTTCGGGTAATGAGATTAGCGAGAACTAGTTGTACATGCTTAGGTAGTATTTGAACATTATTGTTTACGTAATATTATTTACAAGAGTATACAAATCATTTTATTATATCTATTAATAGATTTTGTAAAAAATCAATATTTTCTTTACCTGATACAGTGAAATAATGGTACCTACAGATTTATTCAGCAAATAGTAAATATAATAAACAAAACCTTTAAGATTCGCCAATGACTTTCCTGACATTGTCTATTCCGCGTGACCGTCTCTCTAGAGCTGCCCAACTAAGTTGCTACATCAACGTCCTTTGGTCACGTGTACTCTTTATGATGGTCCATTAGTCAAAAACGTAGAAATGTACCTGATTAATTATTATGTTACAAACAATACCCATATCTCTTTTCATTCAAAACAATTTTTATGCGACGCAACTTTTTAAATGTAACTAAAAACAATTATTCTCAGAACTGTTGATAGTCCTGTTTGATAGTCCTGACCTGTTTATATAAATTCGTGGTACAGTCCAGTACATTCATACAGAATTTAGAAAGTGGTCAAATCAATTAGTACGATAATTTTTAAGAGTAACAAAATTTTCTTAATTACCTTCTAGTCCGAGGTAAGTTTTTACTACAGACTTCTAAATATATATACACATTTATTTACTAATTTTCTATTGACGAGAACTAAGCACATTCTAAGTACCATTTTGCAGCGTTGCCCGGATTATTTAATCGGCCGCAAAACACCTACTTTTCTGTAGTAAATTTTTTTTAAACATTCTAATCCAGACAATTTCTACAAATGTAGATACATTATTCCTTCATTATATGACATTACGAGTGTAATAAAATGACTTTGTTCCTTCATTATGTGACATTACAAATATAAAGAAATTATTTTGTAGTCTGTCCGCTTTACTCATTTGAACATTTGGACCGGTGTGAAGTTGGCAGCCAAAAGTTAGCAGCTAAATTTCCGGATATACCCGAACATCCATAGGCGTACCGTTAAATTTTCTACGGTTCAAGAAATACTGAAAAATATGTAATAACAAAAGTCCTGCAATTACTCCTGAAACAGGGTGAAGGTATTAATAACAGCCAAAAAATAGTTGAAAATTGGTTGCTCTAAGGGGGTGAACACTTGCAAGATCTAATTAAAAATTAAACTTCACTTCAAGAAAATAACGTATCAACTTAACATTTACCATACAAACAGTGGTGATGTCTCAGCAAACATCCCAAAACCAACACAATAAATTATATTCATATGAAGAAAATTGGGTATCAACTTGAAATTTGCCAGAAAGTCGGAGAAGGACATAGGAAATACAGCAGCGATCACTGCATCCTCTTAGCGGCCGTCGAAGGGGGTGAAAACAGCCCCTAATCAACAGAATAAATTTTATTCACTTGAAGAAAATTGGGTATCAACTTGAAATTTGCCAGAAAATAGCAGAAGGACATAGGAAATACAGCAGCGATCACCGCCTCCTCTTAGCGGCCGTCGAAGGGGGTGAAAACATCCCCAAACCAACAAAATAGATTATATTCACATGAAGAAAATTGGGTATCAACTTGAAATTTGCCAGAAAGTCGCAGAAGGACATAGGAAATACAACAGCGATCACCGCATCCTCTTATTTCCTTCTGCGACTGCCTGGAAAATTTCCAAGTTGATACCCAATTTTCTTCATGTGAATAAAATGTTTTCACCCCCTTCGACGGCCGCTAAGAGGATGCGGTGATCGCTGCTGTATTTCCAATTTCCTTCTGCGACTTTCTGGCAAATTTCATGTTGAAACCCAATTTTCTTCATGTGAATATAATTTATTCTTTTGGTTTGGGACTGTTTTCACCCCCTTCGAAGGCCGCTAAGAGGATGCGGTGATCGCTTCTGTATTTCCTATTTCCTTCTGCGGCTTTCTGGCAAATTTCAAGTTGATATCCAATTTTCATCAAGTGAATAAAATTTATTCTGTTGGTTTGGGGCTGTTTTCACCCCCTTCGACGGCCGCTAAGAGAATGCGGTGATTGCTGCTGTATTTCCTATTTCCTTCTGCGACTTTTTGACAAATTTCAAGTTGATACCCAATTTTCTTCATGTGAATAAAATTTATTCTGTTGATTAGGGGCTGTTTTCACCCCTTCGACGGCCGCTAAGAGGATGCGGTGATCGCTGCTGTATTTCCTATATCCTTCTCCGACTTTCTGGAAAATTTCACCCAGTTGATACCCAATTTTCTTCATGTGAATATAATAATTGTTTTTATTCGGTGCAGGAGTATCTGAGTGCTACCACCAAGATTTTAAATTTTTAATTATTTGTTGTCTTGATTATTTTAATTGTACTTGTGTCGTTATGTAAGTTATGTTACTCTATTATTTTTTGTTTTATATATTGTGCATCATTGAGTTTTTTTTATTATTTATATATGTTTGACTAACTACAATAATTGTACTATTTGATATATGTTTGACTTACTACAATTGTACCTCTTTGTATAAAAAGTACATAGATAATAAATTATCTATCTATCTATATAGACCAAGGATATTTATATACCTTTTTAGTATCTAGTGACGTCACATACGCCAAATAATAGGCAACCCCATTGTACACAGTACACACTGTCATGAAAAATTTCTTAGTATTTTTACTAGATCGATTTCCAAATGTACTTTGGACATAGTGCCTTTGTCATGATATTCTGGCATTATTAGAAATATTGAAGAAGTTTCAAACCCCAAGTGACAAACTAAAAGAATTATACAATTTATATTTTTAAATTTATAGAACAGTATTGACTTTTATAGTAATTAATAAATTAAAATTATATCAATGTTACTGAGCATGCGCATTAAAGATAATTTCATATAAGCGAAGTAGCCTCGCAACAGGATATTATTATTCCAGAAAAGTTTGGTTCTGGTTAAGAGTACGTCTATAATAAATCACTTGAAGGAAAAAATGCTCGATAAACAGACTGATACAGTACAGCACCAAGAAAAACAATAAAAATTCTTGGTAGAACTAGAAAATGCAGAAAGAGAAAATACACTAATGATGACAGCGTTTACAAATCAACAAAATCTCACCTGCGTATGAGGCTATTCTTCCCGAGCATGCGCATTAGGAATAACACGGCTAATGTCAAATTTTTACGTTATTTAAATTTAAGAATATTCGTTTTTGTAAGCTTTAAGCACATTAGTGTACCTATTTTACGAAATACGTATTGGCTATTAAATATGTAGGTACTTCTAAATCCTTGTAAAAATAAGCTAATTTGAAGTTATTCATTTGTATAGTATCTATGTAAGTAGTAAACAAGGGTAAGATTCGATTTGTACAATTTCATCTATGACAATTTGTTGCGCGTTGCCTAAATATGTGACGTTACACTAAAATAGTCTATTGCTGTATCCACAAAACATATAATACAGTTGTATCCTTCCAATTTCCATGAATTCCAAGTTCCAAAATGACATAATCTATATACACTTAAATAATACTTAATATAATACTAATAATACTAATAGTACTTAAATAATGTGTAAGATGTAACGAGGAATTTTAGTATTTACTTATTTACCCGAGTTGATTAGTGAGCAACAAAACTTATATGACAAAATTTATAAAATACATACATGTATACTTATGTAATTCATTTATATTGCAGATAAAATAAACATTCATCGATATGGCTGAAGCTGAAAGATATATCGACGTTTTCACTAACGCCATCAACAGGTTTTCAAAGCATTTGCACAAAGAGTTGAAGAAAGAAAATAATACTTTATTTTCGTCTGTCGGCATCCACACATTTCTGACTATCCTTTCTCAAGACTCCTGGTTTTACAACAAAGATATTTTCAATAGAGCGTTATACCTCGAAGTTAATATTGCATCTACACGTTACAAAGAGATGTTTGATGTTTTTAGCAATATTAATAATGTTGTCATTGCTAATGCGTCCTTCTTGAAATCGAACCAAGTTCAGGAAGTTTTCAAAAACCGTCTCAGGGATAAATTTGCTACTGAAGTAAACTTCTTGGATTTTACCACAGCTATAAACGCTTGGATCTGTGATCTGACACATCAAGAAATTACGCCATTTATCAACTTGAAGGATGATGCGAATGTTACATTTTTAAATGCAACCTGTTTTAAAAATAACTGGACTGAACCATTTTCCATGGATGAAACGTTGCCCGCACCGTTTTACTTGAACGAACAAAACACGGTGCAGGTTCAAATGATGAGGAAGAAAGGAAATTTTTATTTTGCGAATTATGCACCCCTAGACGTAAAAATTTTAAAATTACCATTTGCGGGTAATAGTGTAAGCCTTGTAGTCCTTTTGCCCAGGAAAGGTACAGATATTAATAGATTTATACAGCAAATTTTTTTTGATTTTTATCTTACGGAATTCATAAGGAATATGACTAAACAGCAGGTGGATGTTTCATTTCCCAAGTTTAAAATGTGTGAAAATTTAAAATTGAAGCAATATCTAAGTAAGGTAAGAAACTTATTACCTTGAATTTCAATTAATAAAAGATCAATTTAATTTCGCTTCAGCGTCATCTAATGCATCTAACGCCTCTTTCACACGGACGGTATTTTGCCGATCGGTATTTAAACCGATCGGCAAAACAACCGACTAAATTTTGAATTACACATAGTTAAATACATCTTTACACACAGAATCGTTGCCGGTAAGTCTGACGGTCGACTACCGACCGGTAAAACACCGCTCGTGTGTAAGAAGCGTAAAACGTGTTGGCGGCAATCAGGGTTTCCTCGTGGTTTAACAGGAAAATTTTCAAAAGTATGGTGAAATCTGCTGGCGCCTTCCTATCAGATGTCCCATGTGCGGCGGCATCATCTAGTACTCTGGAACGGTTTGGTGGCAATTGCGATGTCTGCGTGGTTTGGCGGGAAAATTTTCGAAACATCGGTGAAAAAGTGGTATTCCGCCCTACGTCCTCGGCTCTGTTTAGTAGGTCGTCTGCGTTGATTTATCTCTGGTTTCCTATTATTTTACTATTACTGCACCTTGCGTGAATCCTCCCGAAGCATTAATGGAAAATTTGGAAATTTAGGTGAAAACTTCGGATCCCTATTATTTGGCTGAAACTGCGCTTTGGGGTGTGGATTCGTATTATTTTGGTGGGAACTGTGCCTTGGACTCCTTTTGAAGGATTGGTAGCGTTTTTCGAAACATGGGCTAAATTTCAAATTCACTCGTTCTGCTTAGTACGACATGACTTTCAACTGTATATTTGTGGCATTTTTATTATTTTTTGTTTATTTGTGTATTTCTACTACACACACAATTTTATACAGCAGCCCATTACAACAATTATAGCGACGGTTTCTATTTTCATAGCAGATCTAGAGGAAGTTTCTGCCACCCCTAGTTTTGGAATTTCCTTCACTTTTAGATTAAGAAAAAGTAACTTTTTCTCTTTTTTTATTACCTATTTATTATTATTATTATTACTAGTCCTTCAAATTTATTACAATTTTTTAATATCTTGTATATTAAACGAATAAAGCTATGAAGATTTATGTTAATTTTTACGTGATTTAATTATATTGTACATCAGATGGGGTTAGATGATGTATTTCATGCCAACCTGAGCGATGTGATTGACGGCGAGGAGCTCATTTGCGATGAAATCCAACAGAAAGTATATTTGGAGATAAACGAAGAAGGAGCCGAAGCTGCTGCAGGTAAACAAAAACTTATCTAAACCTTTTATGGTGTTAGGTATTTATAAAATATACAAATTATCTTCAGGAATGGTGTCGACTGTAACCACAGCTTCCGACGAGGAGGTAATATTAAGTCGTATCGATAAATTATGTGAAATTATTATAAATAATTTGTCAGGTGCCTCCCAAAAGTGGATTATATATCTACGAAGCAAATATATCTTCCGAAATCACCAACCGTTTTTCCAAGACTAAGGTGGTGTGGAGGGTGAAAAACATCAACAAGAAAGCGGCAGATGCTGACTTTAAAGTTGTTCTAACCGATATGGCTTTCATTACGGATTTTGTCATGGAAATCGAGGGCAAAATTTACAAATCGTGCATAAAAGAAAAAGAGGAGGCAAAAAATATTTATAAAGAAGTACGTATCTATTTGTTTTTTCACTTTTCCTTTTTTGATGCAATAAAAAATTTATTACAGGCAATAGCGGGTGGGCACAGTGCGGGGCTCGTCGAAGCAAAAACGAGAGATTCTAAGGAATTTACAGTGTCGGTAAATCTAGAGCCCGATTCGGTGGTGGTATTTTCTTTAACTTACGAAGAAATGCTCCAAAGGATCCACGACCAAAACGAATTGGTGCTGAATATTTGCCCTGGGCAAATCGTGGACGATTTAAATGTTGAGGTAACAGACTAATTAGTTCCAGTAATATTTTAAAGCGTAATTACGATAAAATTTTCTAGATTCGTATTAATGAGAGTCGACCCCTGAAATTTGTAAAAACGCCACCTCTGATATCAGGAAATGACATGAATACGTCGGAGTACGACCAGATTCTCGATCCTCTGTCGGATATTAAAATAATAAATCAAAGAACGGCTTCCATCAAGTTCCATCCTAACGCGGCGAGGCAAAGAAAACTGACTCACTTTTTGGGAAATAAAACAAACGATGGCTTGTCAGGTCAGTTTGTCGTACAGTACGACGTAGAAAGGGAACCCCTGAACGGAGAAGTATGACCGAAATATGTACGCTAAATAAAAAATTTACTGTTTCCCTTTAGGTACTGCTACAAGATGGCTATTTCATTCACTTCTTTGCCCCGAACGACCTAGATCCGTTACCGAAGCATGTCATTTTTGTGTTGGACACTAGCGGGAGTATGAGGGAAAGGAAAATTGAACAGTTGAAAGACGCTATGATGAATATTTTGAGCGATTTGAACAAAGATGACATGCTGAGTATTATCGAATTTAACAAATATGTTACAGTGTGGGATGTTGACTCGCAACAATCAGCTACCGTGCCTAAGAGTAAAATTACAGATTTCAACGATCCTTTTGCCTCTTTACAAGTAATTACGTGGTTTTAATTTAGACCTAGTTGCATATGAGGGGTATATATGCAAAACTCATATTATCCACTTTTTAAAATTTTTCAGGAAGAAGGAATAACTGATTTCTCACTTTTTAAGTGACTTAAAGATCTGATTTTTTTTTGGTATTGTATTAGAACTTTAACTTTGCTTCTTAATTGGTGAAATGACAGCTCAACAATATTTGACTCCAAGAAAGTGAATTAAAGTTTGGATAATGTGAGTTTTGATACAACTTTTTGGATAATGGTAGTTTTGCTCCAAATTATTCTACATATAATATTATTTTTTACAACAGGAACTTTGAAACAAACTCAATATCAATAAAACTTTTATGTAATATGATAGTTCATAATCAAAATAAAAAGCTGCACAAAATACTTAGAATACGGTTTTATTATCAGTGATGAAGTGAAATATCACATTAAGCTATATTGTATGTAGAAATATTTTTATAATGAACCTAAAATTGCTAAGTACAAAAAATGTTGACAGTATAAAGTTCTAATATCCGATATTTAAATATGAAACTTCAGAACTAAACTTATCTTACTTATAATCAGAAACTCATAGAAAAACACGGAACCAACCATATAGAAAAGCAAAACAATGCGAGAAGCAAAACTCACATTTGACACCTTCAGATCGTAGGAGAATGTGACTTTTGAAACAATTAACAGATTTCACAATTTAAAAATAAATACGAAAATGTGAATTTGTACCACTTCTAAATTTTAAAATGGTGTAGTTCAACACGATGAACAAGATAGCGTCACTAACTCTATTTCGAAAAATTATGGATAATGTGAGTTTTGCATCTATACCCCTCATATAACCGTTTCATTTTTATTTTAGAAATGTATATTGGCAGATCCGCGACTCGTTAGTGACGATATTATAAAAAAAGCAAAGGAGGTTGTTCAAAATATTGCAGCCACGGGTAGCACCTTCATGATTGGCGGTTTGGAAACGGCTTTGTATCTAGTGAAAAGAGGACAACAGAAAAATAAAGACGGAGACCAGAGACTTCAACCCATTATAGTATTTCTAACCGATGGACAACCTAATGTCGGTATTCGTTCAACAGAGCATATTACTGAACTAGTAAGTCACTTCATTTCATATTTCCATGTCTGATTGCTATATGGGTCCGTGGTTTTAGTTTTTCGCTTTTTATTTGGGTACTTTGCCACCTGTGAAAAAGATTAATAAAACAAGGATTAATCAACGGTTATTTTCATGAAAATTCCTCTCCAAGTCGTGCATTAAAAAATGACATCATTCATTTCAGTTAGTAGGCGTTTGAAAAGTCAATTTATTTTCGTCCTTAAACTAGGAATAACGTTTCGTTTTCAAATATCTGTTTATCAGCTTCCACAACTAGGCATGTCTTCATCAGGTAGGCATATTAAATAATCCAAAATAAACAAAACAGCAACAAAATTAAATTTACATTTCAGTTCGGTTTACGAGAACCCGTTTATGAAGTGTCTTTGTGTAGTTTAAGTGTATAGACCTATAGGTGTTTATTTCAGTGTCTAGTGACGATACAATGTATTTTTATGTTTTTATTTTCAAGTTTTTGTGTGATGTTATGAAATATCATGTATATGAGTCAAAAAAGCGTTGATAAACTTAGAGGCCTACTTTTTGTCAGGAGAAAACCATGCTGTTGCAAGAAGACGATATCAAATGGATTATCTCGACTGACAAACATTGAGTAAGAAAATGTTGTATGGGAACAAACTCAAGAGTGAGAAACTTAGAACCAGAAATTTTCAATGCTGTGGAAGAGGATGCTATGTGCATGCTCTGCGACTAACGCGTGTTGTTTGAGATCACACTAGCTTTTTCAGTGGCGGAGTATAAAAAACGACAAAAAAAGATTAAATATATTAAATTTTCATGATGGAATTTGAGAAAACAATCTTATGTACATGTTTCCAAATGTCAAACGTAAGATGAAATTGCCGAATTGTTGAATGTTGATCGCACAATATTCCAAACTCGGTATGACTCAAAAGCAAGGAAATTGGGTGCCATATGAATCAAAGCCGAGAAATGTTGAATGGCATTTTTTCACGTGTGAACAACAAAATATTTTTTCAACATGGCAACGCTCGATCACATGTTGCTCGCAAAGTCAAAAAATATTTAGAAAACTGAACTGGGATGTTTTACCGCGCCCGCCATATTCACCAGATATTGTTCCATCGGATTACTATTTGTTCCGACCCGTGGAACACGACTTGACTAAGCAACGTTCCAATCTTACAAAGATACGAAAAATTGGATCGATTGGTGGATAGCATCAAAAGATGGAATGAATAATATTTTGAAAAATAACAATGTACTCAGTTTTTCACAATAAAGCCTTGAATTCACAAGAAAAATCCCTCAAAATTAATTCACTGTTCTTAATACTAAAAATGTGACACCTCAATGGTAAAAGTCCCAACTGTAAAAATATTGTCTCTACGGCTACTTAAATTTTAACAACTGTCTTAAAAAAAAACCGTTACATAAAATTGGTGATAATTTAATGGTGCATATTTTTTGTCAGCTTTTTTCAGTATAAAATTTTTAGCGAGGCAAACATAGTTTCATAAAATAACTCTTCACTCTTTATTTTGGCACAAGGGTCTTTAATTTTTTTTTCTTTTCACTCAAATAAACAAAAAATTCACTGCTATACGTTTCAAGTGTATTATCCACTTATTTTGATTTTGAAAATTTTGTCATAGCTTGAATATATCTTTGTAAGCTGTAGAAGTTCCATATTTATTTTTAATTTTTTAAGTTTTATAAACTAAAAATATACTGTTTTAAGGCATACTACGAAGGAATGAATAGTTAGAGGGCGTCTTAATAATCCATGTACAAAAAACTAGAAGTTCTTTCTCTGTAAATTTGTCGTATTTCTAACAATTTTCGCATAAATAAATATTTTCTTATTACTACATCCCATAGTTTTAGTAGGTAAAAGCGAGTAATAAATTTTGTTCCTAGAAAAAATCAAAACAGTTTCCAACAGTGAGACCCATGCACATTACAATATAATGCTAATGTAAGGTTCCAATTTCATTGCTTCGAATCAAATGTGTATGCGTCTGACTGTTGAAGACGTGTTTCTGATGCACCAGGAACTAAGCTAATATTTTTAGAAAAAATTGTTATTCATGTTGTATGCAATTTAATCGTCTCTACTTAGCTGGTCCACATGAAACATCAGTCCTATCAGGAAAACAAAAATGATACGTTTTCTTTTTCATCTTGCATTCCATTCAATGAGTTTGACGTAGTTCAGGTCCAGTTGTATAATTTATTTGTCACACACCTGCTGTGTGATGAACATTCATGAATGAATTGGCTGATTACAAAATATTCTGATATCTGAGAAAAATAACAAATGTAATGCATATTAAAAACGAGGTGAAAGCTATTATGGCAATATTTTAAGAGATCAATGAGATGTGGGGAACCCCATTACCATATTTCAATAAGGAATATGAAAATGTATGTTAGGACAAAAATTCAAATATGTACTCATTTCCAACTAATAAAGTAAAGGTTAAAGTATGTATCATTAAAATATTAAGTAATTTTGATCATTAGCTGTAGAAAAGTTAATTCCCATATTTATATTATCCTTTGATTTCTTTAAAACTAAAACTTCTGTATGTTTTAACAGTTCTGTAACTGTAAAATCATGTCAGATGATTTAATTAGCATGTTTTTTACAGTTCGCATTCAGAATGCGAGGTGAATACAATTTAAATGTATATAGTAATAGTCCACGGGCCCACGTACAAAGAAAAAAATGATTACCAGCAAGCTGTAACTTTGCGTGCAGCTTAAGTTTGACGAGTCTCCCAAGATTTGACTATGAGGAAAATTCAACAGTGGTAAGTTTTCCCATGATTTTCAGGAAAACATGTCAATCTGGCATAAACATGGAATGTTATGACCAGCACTTTTATTTAAGTTTAAATGAAAGAAGTTTTTAAACCCCCCAAAAAATGTGTCCGACAAAAATGTTGGTATTTTGAGTTTGTCCCCCACCCCAAATATGTCAATTTGGTGACATTATGGTTGGTGACAACCAGCAAGCTGATTTTTCTGAGAGGATTTGATAATAAGGTTTGAAATGAAAGTATCTTATTGTCCGACAAAATTCTTGAGAAGTTTTTGCAGTCCGACACCCCGAAGATGTCGACTTAACGACAATATGGTTGATAACCAGCTGTCGGACAAAAGCGTCATTATTTAAAAAA